ACCTTTAGGTTTTATTTCCATAGACACTTGTATTCGGAGAGTGATACTGAGGAGAGATTCTTCCGGAAAATAGAACTAGGGTTCCGGTGGACAATGGGTCTTTTGGGAAGGTGGTCAAGATTGGAATGATACTGCCTAACAGGGCGGCATGCAGGAGGGGGAGGAAAGAAGGTAATGAATCTGAATCCATGGGGAATGTGCTGTGTATCATGAGTATGCTGTGAATGCTTTGAAGTAAGAACTGCTGTCTTTATTTTAAAGTTACTAGCCCCAAAGTTCCAAACTTCCCACGTCCTGTGTTTGCTGTCCTTGGCGGGGAAGCTAGAATGGAGGAGGAGAAACAGACTTGAAATTGGTGAAGGGGGTCGAAGAGATGATGAGGAAAGTAGGCCTTTAGGCTCAATGCTCATAAGCTGTTGACAATTAGCAGAGCCCTGGCAGGCACAAATGACGTTTCCATGTATTTGTTGTCACTGAAAACGCTCATTGAATTAATTTGGAAATTATATTTCTGAGGTAATTTCTGTGGTTCATGTCATTATAGATTCAGAATGCTCAAGAATGCACACATACTTTATGAGTCATATTCGTTCAGGAATAATGTGGCTTGAGACAGCATCTTTGAAAGCTGTATTACTTGTTCCAGGACTGTATATATTTGGAAGCAGCCAGAAATTTCTGGTCGAATTACAGAATTTATGAAATTTAAATCTATACTTGCAAACAGATGGGCATTTGACACAGCACTGGAATAAAGTGAGATGCACTGCTCTTTGCCCAGTGGAGATGGTTCTGACCAGTAGAAGTCACACTTAAGTGCAGGAGGAGATGCAGAGTGCTTCCTGTTGAAATGCTTCGTATGTAAGTTGACACCCTTCCGAGTGTCAAGAAATGAACTCTTTCAAAAAGAAAATCAACCCAACTGGAGGTATTACGAAAGTGTTGCTCCAGAAAGTGAATCTCCATATGTCATCTATGATTCAGTTTCTGCCCCCACGCCTGTATTTTACTATTTAATGCCTTCATTTATCTGTCCATTGACTCAGCAAATAGGTACACGTGACAAACACTGATGTGATGGTGACCAAAACAGAGATGTCATCTGCCCTCAAAGAGTTCACAGTACAAACAGGAAAAAAAAAGAAAAACAAAGAATCACAATTCCAGTGCAATGTGTTAGGGTAACACAGCAAGTCAGCACAGGTACCATGGGATTCTGAACTAGATTTGGGCAAAGTCTAGCCTGAGACCTGAAGAACCTACTGGGAAAGATGGGAAAGAGCTTTTTTCCTTACTTTATTTATCGCTCCTGCCACTCTAACTTCCCCCCAAATGTTGAGCCACTTATCCTTTAAAACTACTATCTAAATCTGTCCAAAATTCCCACGGGCTAACGTTTCATAAAAATAGCTACACTAAATATTGAAGATGAAAGAGGAAAGAATACGGAAGATATAAACAGCACAAAGACAGGCAAGCTCTCAAAATGTAGGGTGTTGATCCTTAAGATAATTATACACTGGGTCCAAAGAAGTAGGGCAAATTAGCTTGAACCCAGCCTGGCATTCTGTTCTCCCAGATCCACATCTTCTTAGAAGTAAGAATATTTGTTTTTATAGCAAGGAAACAGACTTGTAGCTAACTGTCCATTTCCAATGAAAGGTGGAAAAACATCTTACCTTTTATAAACAAAAGTATCCCTCATTTTTATTTCCAATACTTGGCAAATGACAGCATTTTACGCATCTAATTGGCCATATAAAGTATGAAATAAAATGAATTATCTCATGCTCACTCCACAAAAGGTATGTTTTTGCTGACACTGCTTGCAAGATACGCTTCCTTAATTTCCTTAGAGTAGAAAATTTCCTTACAGTATCATCAAAATAATGATGTTAATGTATTACATCACTTGGAAGAAAATAGTTATCCATAAGTTTATACACATATACATAAACAAATGAATAAACAGATAAATGTAGAAGACAGTGATTTTTCTTACAGTAGAATGCTAATTGATTTCCTTCATTGAGTAATTTCCTAATACTCAAGCAAATTTTCAACCTTGAGCAATGGACATATACAAAGATACGAGGTCAGCTACAACCTGAAATCACTGCCAAATTAAACTGAGAGAAGTATGAAAGCAGTTGCTTAAAGGTTACCAAATTACTTTTTCTAAGGGACTTAGGTCTGTATAAGTCTATTTCTAAAAAATACGGACCTAGCTTTTCTTTTTACTCTTCTCTTCCTGTCTCTTCCCTTTGTGTTCATTTTTAAAAGTTGTCTGTTTGTTCCGCTTTTTCTTATCCTTCTCTTCCCTTCTCTACCTTTGAGGTGACAAGACACAGTGAGACTGTAAGGCCATAGCTGAGCAAGTGTCAGAATCAAGGATGGTAGCTGGGGCTGGTGGAACCAGGATCAAGGATGCTATCAGATTACGAGAACCTATGGAGCAGGAAAAATAGATAGTTAGGATCAAGGCCAGTGGGGCCATTGCGGGATGGGACCAGGCGCAAGGAGCCAAATGAGGCAAATGGTGGCCAAATAGAAGCCTCCAGCCATAATCCCCCCTACAGGAATGCCAAATGGAACAACTATCTGCACACAAAAAGCACCTTCATAAGAACCAAAAATCAACTGAATGATCACAGTATCTGGTTTTACCATTGTATTAAGGTGCTGAGGCTGAAAAGATGGTTGGCAGAATTGAGATGTTAGTCACATACATGGTGAATGATCAAATACATGTTGAGGATAATGGGAGTCAAGTTTCCCACTTTTGGAGAAAAATTTTGCATATATAGAAAGGGTATAGGCTACAGGGAATGCTGTGGTGTTGAGTTAGATTTAGAGATACTAATGGAAGCTCGTGTTTGATGGATAGATGGATAGAGAGATAGAGAGAGAAAGATAAAGAAATGTATACAGTTGCTACATTTTATGTGTGTGTGTGTGTGTGCGCGAATATATGTGTATGTGTGAGATTGATAGCTCTGTCCACTGTGAAGGCCTAGAAACGATACCCCTAAGGGAGATGTGAGTACACCCAGTGCCCAGATCTTGGTTTCTAAAAGCCACTCTTCACTACAGAAGAGTTCCTTAGAGAAAGGGCTGACTCAAAGACCAGAATAGGAAAAGTACAAGATGAATCTGCAGTGTCTTGTGCCAGAAAGTGAGGAAATGCTCAAATAATGAGGGAGACTTGTCAAAATGATATATGTGCTAACATCTAGGGGCTCCTAATGGCCCAATCTGGGATAATGTGAGAATCAAAATAAATAATGATGTTAATGTATTACATCACTTGGAAGAAAATAGTTATCCATAAGTTTATACACATATAAATAAAGGAATAAACAGATAAATGTAGAAGATAGGGATTTTTCTCACAGTTGAATGTGAATTGATAAATGTAGATGAATAAGGAAATTAGAAAATCACCACAGAGTAACCATCATTGTAATAACTGTTTCAGCCAAAAATCATCAACATATGCTAAATCTAGTGTGTGAAGATTTAAAGAGTAATAGAATATTTATATAATTTCAAAATATTCCATGCATGGGAAGATTCACAATTTTACAATAGAGCAACATAGCAGACATTACCTTCATCAATTGATCAGCATTGTGTACCTCCTGATATGATGCACTGTGGAGAACAGGGAATCACTCGTTAGGAATCCCTACTAAAAATCCATCATCTGAATGTAAATGAGGAAACGTCAGGCAAACTTTAGAAAATAACTGGCCTGTACTCATCAAAAGTAACAATGCCACAAAAAAAGCAAGGAGAGACAGATAATGTCCCACACTGAAAACTAAAGAGATATAACAACAAAATGCAGCACGTGATCCTGGATTAAATCCTGTGCTGGAAAAAAAATAACAAAAAAGTTTGTTTTTTTAAATAAAAAAGGGTATTCTTGAGATAATTGGTGAAATGGGAGGGATTTAAGGATTAGGTGGTAGGATTTTATCAATGTTATAAATGTTAAATTTCTGATTTTGTTGAGTATATGGTGTTATGTCTACAAATTACACTCAAATAGTTTGAAGGAATATATACATGTATATATATATACACACACACATACACACACAATAATATATATACATACACACACAACAATAAATGTAAAGTGGAGAAGTAAATGTAGTAACAACTGGAGAAGTTGATAGTGCTTTTTACTTTTTTTTTTTTTTTTTTTTTTGAGACAGAATTCTACTCTTTCGCTCCAGCTGGAGTGAAGTGGCGTGATCGTGGCTCACTGCAACCTCTGCCTTCTGAGTTCAAGTGATTCTCCTGCCTCAGCCTCCCAAGTAGCTGGGATTATAGGCACCAGCCACTACACCCAGCCAATTTTTGTATTTTTAAAACAGATGGGGTTTCACAATGTTGGCTAGGCTGGTCTCAAACTCTTGACCTCAGGTGATCCACCCACCTTGGCCTCCCAAACTGCTAGGTTTACAGGTGTGAGCCATCGCGCCTGGCCTCTTTGTACTATCCTTATAACTTGTCTTTATAAAAGTTAAAAATATTTCAAAATATGTAACAAATAATCATATATTATTTATAAATGCAATGAAAGAAAAATATCTTAACAGAATTAATAAATACAGTTTTAAACTTTTTAAAAATATTGATGAAATGTGGAACTAAAAAGCCAACAGCATTATCTATATTTCAATGTTCACACTTCTTAAGCACTATACTGTTCTGAAGGTAAAGTTATATTTCATCTTACTTTTCCTTTCATTGTGTTTGGGCTATTGCCTAAATTTGAAAAAAAAAAAAAGAAAACAAAATACTCATAACTAATACATAAAATTTACAAAAATGGCTATCTGAAAACTTCAAGAAAAAATTGTCATTTTCCTTATTTTTCAGTACTTATATATGAATGATATAATTGAGAATCAGAAAAACTCAGTTTGTTCTCAAAGGAAGTAACAATATAAGTGAATTTGCTTGCTCTCTCTTTCTCTCTTGGCTAGGTTTCATATGTCAAAGCTATTGATATTTGGATGGCAGTATGCCTCCTTTTTGTGTTTTCAGCACTTCTGGAGTATGCAGCTGTAAATTTTGTATCAAGACAACACAAAGAACTTCTGAGATTTCGACGAAAGAGAAAGAATAAGGTAAGTGATGAAATGTTTTGGGTTTGGCAGCATCCAGTTTTCACTGGAAAGTGAGTTTGTTGTATTTAATAGAGATGAAAAGAGAGGCAATTGGGACTGGGGATGAAATAATATAATATTCCTTTCATTTTTTTTCCAATCCAAACTAAAAATGTCAAAAATAGCTTCAGGGAGAAAATGATGACACCTAGCTCTACTTTAAACAGCATATCTGGTGACATGAGACCTACATCAGCTTCTTTTTAATGTGCTTCCTGGAACGACACTTTTTTATTTTAATTAATGAATTATATCATTTCTTACTTGCAATGTTAGAGCATTTCTAATGGTTTCACTTGACATAAGTCATCAAATGTAATTATTAATGTTCCTTTGTCAGAGCTAGTTCATTTCATTATTTTCATCAAATATTACTTATTTACTAATACCATGATGATAAATACATGAAAAACTCTGTGGTCTCTTTTTAATGCATATTTTCATGAACTAAAGACATTTCTTTTGAAACCCTGTGGGAAACACAAGAAAGTCCTGTTGTTTCTTGGCTACTATCTGATAAATGATGAAACCAGGAAGAAACTTAGGACATCATGAAGAGACCATAGCAAGTTTCAGAAGTAAACCCCTAATTGGATTTGGATGTCCTAAATGAAGTTTTTCCTCTATGCAGAACTGTAATGGCATCTCCCTTGACATGCACGTGGTTTTGACCAATCCGCTTTCCTTTTCTGTAAGAGAGATCCTCTATCAACAGCAGATCTATGCATTTACTTCTAATGTGAATGTGCCAACAGACATTTTAAAAGCAAATGGTCTTTTAAAGCAATGGACAGTAATATCAAAGTTTTGTGTAAGTGTGACAAGGATCCAATATCCTGGCATATTTAAGTCAAAACATAAACCTTAATGATAATAGTATAGTTCACATAGTGTGCCTTTTTAAGTATGTAAGGGTTTAACTTTTTAAGGATTCTTTATGGTTTATAAATTATACTGCAATTTATGTATTTATTACACTTGTTTAAAAAGCTTTGACGTCTCAGTGTTTGAGTCTACTTAGTATTAAACATATTCTAAAGCAGTAACTTACTTATCATTTCTAATTGGCCCTCCAAAAAGCATCACTGCTCCAATAAACACACAATTAACAGCAGCGTGGAAAGAACATCAGCATTCAGCATCGGAGATTCAGTAATACATGAACAAAAAACAGTGCTAAGACTTGCATTTAATCAAATTTTTATGAAAACAGAAGCATATCTTTTGTACACTGAAACATACTGTGATGGGGAGATTAACTTTATCTTCTTCCCTCACCTCACCCTGGTCTACTGGTCTGTTATATTTTCTCATTTCTCCTCATTCTGCCTTTATCTCTTTTTCTTCCTCTTCTCTCTCCCTCTCCACATCCTACTTTCTCATGTTTTCTTTCATAATAACTGGCACCGGTTGAACAACAATGACAGTACAAATACTGTATCACAGGGATGACGCTCTGGTCTTTCTTTAGTATTAGTGACTGATAAAGACCACTTTCCCTTTTAGTATCATTAATTAGAAGTAAAGCAATATGCATGTTCCCTATCATTATGATTTGCTTTTTGTCATTTTGATTTTCCATTTCCTTACCTTTTTCTTTCTCCTTATACAATTTAGAATGTATCAAGCAGGTCCTGTAAATTCTGGAAAAGAGAAGTTTTATGCATCCGGTGTCCAAATGGGTAAAGTGTGAAAGCTCAGACATATCATACATCTACCACACATTCAATAATCACAATATCCAGTAGACAAAGTATTAGATGACAAGTTTGTATGCTCAATTCTGGATCCTTCTTTTAAAAAGTTATTTTTACCAAAGTGCCTCTTTACTCAGTTTTACCACATGTAAAAGTGAAATAAAAATATTTGATGCTCCTTCCTCTTTAGCTCATAGAAAGAGGGAAGCATTCATTTTCTCCAGTGACTGGTACTCTGGGAAAATGCAGAAATGCAAAAACAGTCATATCTTATTGTTTTCTGATAACTACTTGATATATTCAGGGAGCAAATGTAATTAAATGTAATTTTGATTTAATGAAAAAAAGAGTTTTTTAAAATTCAGTTTATACGTTGGAATAGATACTTTGCATATGTGAAAATCTATTAATTGCTACCTATGTCTGTTCAAATGGTATATGCAATTACAACCAATTGTGTAATTATATTTAATCATATATGAATTGATTCTCTGGTTTCTCAATTCCTCTTGGTCCACTTTACCTTCCCACAGACAGAAGCTTTTGCATTGGAGAAGTTTTACCGTTTCTCAGATATGGTAAATTGACTTTCTTAACTCTAAATTGAGGAATGTGGTCATCAGTAAAAAGCAGACAGCATATTCTGCACTACCAAGGCAGTGTTTGGTGGGGAAACACAGCCCCTTCTGTATTGAAAGCTGAGCAAACACCATCCTCCTTCAGCTAAGAAGGGTATTTTCTTTTTCCAAAAACTTCATTCTTGTCTTCTCTCATCCATAAAAGGATATTTCAATATTACCCTTCATTTTTTTTAACAGAGCTTTTTGATTGGTCAAAATGATTTAAAAATATATATTAAAGAGAAATATCACATATATCTTGTAATAATCATCATAAAAGAAACACTCAGATACTTGTACAAAATTAGTTGAAAATAAATGGAAAATTTATTTATACAAACAAATTCTAAAAGCAGCTGCACAAGAGACCTCAAAATAAGGCAACCAAATGCTTTGTGCCTTCTGTGTATCTTTAGAATCCATTCTAAACGTTAAAATATGCTGAGGTTACTTATAGCAAGTGAATAATTTAGTTTTGATAGCAGCATGTTTTGAAATTGTCAAATAAAAAGATTTCACAAAGGCACATGTCCAAGTATAATGACTAAATATTTGGAAAGCAATATAAAATAGATAGTTTTGGTCCATACGTGGTCTGACTTGGGAGTTCATAATATAGTATACAGTAATTAAATAGAAATCTATTGAAGCCAAGAATTTAGCCTGGGAAATTACACACAAATAGTTCTGTCTACTAAACTTAATTTCTGGGGTAAATTATATCTAAAAGTAGCTACCAGATGATTCTACTGTACATTGCAAGTAAGCATCCCTGCAAGAGACATAATGTTAAATAATTCTTGCAGTAATCTCAACCACATAACAGATTGTCTAGATCTGGTATTATTTTAAAGTACTTGCTAAGTTCTCTTATAATATGTAATCACTCAGCAATTGTCCTTTGCTACTAAAATTTACATCTTATTTCCCAGCATCCCACTTCTCCCTTTGTTTTTCATCCCTGAAAGATAATTTCACATGGTCCACTTGCTTTTACTTGATTATCTTAACCGTAAATTTTTCATTGCATGGAATTTACATAATTAGATATAGTGTTTGCAATATATATTTATAGATACAAGTCGGTATTAGACTATATAGCAGACTCTCTAATCTTTCTTTGCAAGACCAACATAATTATATCTCTAGTAGCTAAACAGTTAATGTTTATAGAAATTATAGAATGAAAGGTATCTATTTAATTAAATATTATTTTATGAAAACTCTAATGAAAAAACAGGCTTATCATATGGAAAGTCAATAAATTTTTATTTTTATAGAACAAACAATATGATAACACAGATACAGTCATAAGAAAGTATATACATCCCTTTTGTGTTTAAAATATTTCAAGAGTTTGGCAAATTTGGGGGTGGTTGGTTTCTTTGACTTTTTGAAAACTATTTCCCTAAACTAACAATGCTCTGGGTTGATCAAATTTGTCCTTTAAAACTATGTATTTTGCTTAGAAACAGTATGAGTAATCTAAATTTTTAAATAAACAGAATCAAAATGAGTCTCAATGTTTGTACTATGCCCTTTATTGTCATGAGTACTGGTTTACATGAATTTTCTTCAGTACTCTAATTTGGCAGAACAGGCAAAGTAAATAAAATAGTCTTACTGTAGAAAGTTTGTCACAACAGGGGACCTTACATTAATGCAATTATTGTTCCTAGGAAAGTTTTAACTAGGCTCAGCATTGACTTCGGCATTGTATATAGCTTTTTTAAACTTACTTTTTCCTCTATGAAGGTACCAGAGAATCCTGGGTCTATTCTGAAAGAACACAAGTTTGCTCTTGTATCCAAATTTCCCCACCCCACACTGTCCCAGCCTGCTGTGTGCTGATTACGCACTGCACCATGTCATGGATGCTATCTCCAGTGCTGTGTGTGTGTGCGTGTGTGTGTCTGTATGCATGATATGGAAGCATTTTGGCTAGAGTTGCTATTCCCATGTATGATATCATTACTTTAGTCCTGGAGGCTTAAAAAGACATGCCAAGGTATTTCCAAATATGTTTTTTGTTGAGAGTTATGGATGAAATGGGATTGCTTTAATGCATTTCATGTAGCTTCCTCCACAATGCAATGTAACAGTGTAATGGTTTGCTGCAAGAAAACATATGTACACAGTATTCTAGTGCCTGTTTCACTACTGATGATTATTTATTAATTATTATTTATATATGCAAATGAAATAGGAATGGACCATTAGTTCTAGATTTAAGAAATCCTGACCAAGTTTATGTTTTGCTAGGCACAGTGGTTATCTTTTGAAAAAATAAAGCTATCATTGACTGCATTTTGACCATCTGTACACAAACTTTATTTTATTTACTTATGTTTTTATATGCTATCTAACTTTAAAAATAATTCAAGATAGCTTCTAAGGATAATAAATAATTGATTTTCTGCCGTGTGCATTTGTCAAGTCTATAGTCTAAGGATAAATACAAATATACATATATACTATTTTGATGAAAGTGAGAAGGATTCATGTTTGAAAGCCATATGGCATCCATATACACTGATTATTCAATAATCTTTCCATTCCAGGTCAGCTTATGCTGTTCTAGAGCTAAGACTTTCTTTAAATAGATTAAGTGTTTCCTACAAATGTCTTCCATGCATACCTGAAGAAAAGTTATTTCCCAATAACTTAGATTCAAAGAAAATTCTATTTGAATGACTCTAATAACAGGAGTTGAAATTGCATCCTCTCAAATAGGACAAAAATTGTAAGACTTTAGTTATTCCCTGGAAACAAATATTTAAATATTTAGTTTATGCTAAACTCAGCTATTTCTTATAGCTATATATTCTCTGAAAATCTGTTCAGGACAATAATATTTGACAAAATAATATAATCTTTGTTTAAATTTACGTGCATTTGGTGACTTCCATCTCAATGTTAATTAAAATAGAAATGCTGCTTTTTAACATATGATGTCTATTGTAATACCCTATGTCACGCCATAATTATGAGTTGGCAGTAAGTGAATCTAACATATTATGCTATAAATAGATACGTAGATTTTTAAATAAATCATTCCATTGATTTCTTATCTGTCCTCTATAATATTTCATCTAAAACATTAATCTTTCTAAATTTACATTTTTAAATTTTTACGTCTTTTAAATTTACCATTTATCAATCTTCAAACCATTTCTGAATCTAAGTTTAATATGCCAATATACACTTGGCTAATTAATAGCGAATTCAGTTGTCATCTATAATAAATGCAGGGTTCTCCTGGAGTGAAATTTCAAATAATTTTATATTAACAATTGACTTACAACAACAAAGTGTTTTTTAAACCTCATCTATAATTGCATTATTTTAGACTTTCCACTTATAAATGATATAAAAATGTGTGTAGATACATGAAACTGAATATTTTATTTTAGACTGGTATTTTAGAAAAACAATTTTAATTCACTCACATTTTTCATCTGTTCTTAATATTCTCAAGGGACAAGGATGTTTCCCAATGAAATGAGTCATTGTTGTTTATTAGCAATTTAAAATAATCCACACATTTTGAAATAATATAAATAGAAATTAATAACAATTTAATTTTCCTTCCTTTATTACATTACCATTTGGTAATAACATTACAAAAAAGTATTTAACAAAAAGACATTTGGAATAATCTATTTAATATTTTAATTGTATAAAGATTGCCCCAAAGGTACCTACTAAGGGAGAAACATTAAGATGCAAATAATGTATTTAATGCTGTTATACCTTACAGCATTTCACATCATCAATACTTCATGCCGTTCTAGATGTTTAATGTTTTGTTCACACTCAATGGCAATCTTCATGCCTTCATCACTCTCACATCCATGTAAGTTTTCTTTTTTCTGGTCATTTTTGAGGACTAAGAAGAAGATACAAAATTAGTCCTTGCCTCACACATGTGTTAGTACACAGTATCATGTTTGATGACAGAGACGAAGAAATTTCATTCAATGACTGTATGCACCCTTCTATTTTCTGTCTGTCTCTAATATTTCTAGTTATAATTTGCATTTTATATGAATCAGTGTTTGGCATAATTGAAATAAAATGAAAAGAGACATACAAAGTCTCACAGTATGATATAGAAGCATAATGACTGAAATGTTCTTTTTGTCAGTTTTAAATTTACAGAAAAATGATATTCCTGTAAAAAGAATTGTGTGGTAGCTAAATGGCTGTCTCCATTCTTCATTGCCTACCATTCTAACTTGCTTGAAGCATAGTAAGAAGGTTTACTTGTGGGTAAACTAAACTACTTCTTTAACTTTTTAATCAGCGATTTTGCCCACTTCCTATATTTTATGTTGTCAAGGGCCTTAATTTTATAACCACTAAAGATTGGCTAATACATAATGTCTCTGAGTCAAAAGTTCTAGATATATTTTTTATTCCTTGCTTTTTTGACATGTAATCCATGAAAATGTAAGCTGAAGCTATTTCCAGAAAATTAAATTATCTCAAAAAAATTTTGAATGCTAATTACAATAAGGAATATCACTGCACATGTAAGCATACATAAACACAGGATAATTTATGACTGGGTAATGCAAAGCAGAGAAATTAGTAATAAAATATTTCAGTGCTGCTTCTTATTTAGTAATCTAATAATAACAATAAGCTGATAGAAAAGCTTCATCCCTGCTTAAAATTATTGTTTAAGTGAAACCTTTCAAAAAAGTCCCAATAAGCCAGTCATTTAAAAAAATCCCTTGATGTTTTTAAGGTCCGGGGCTCATGGTCTCTCTCATCCCCTGTCTTCCTGTGAGTGCAGACAGGACCCTATACAGGAGTCTGTTCCTTTCCTTCCCATGGAGCTGACAACCTGTTTCTGAAAGGGCCCTGATATGACTCCACATGCCTCACCTCATGGGCACACTCAGAAAGATCTCCACTCTTTCATACAACACATTTAAAACACAAAGACTCTT